TTGAAATGGGCAAATTTTGTATATTTACTAATTGACAAATATGGAATTAAAAGGTAATGAGCGCCTACAGCAACCTGAGGAGACCTGGGAGACTCCTCTTTCCTCTCTACTCCAACTCCATTCATCCCTGAAGAGTGATGAAAAGAAGGTGGCAGTCAAAGTACACGATAAATATACCGAAGTATGAGAAGTGTTGCATTGGTTTGAGCAGAATACAGATGAATCGAGCTGCATATCACTTCAATAGGTCTGAGGCTTTCGAACAGCCAAGAGACAACAATCTGCGATAGTGAACAATTAGAGACCAGCAAAGCGTTGAAAGCGCAAAGGTGATGACGTGAAACCAAACGTCAGGCTTGATTGCGGCAACCGCCATAGAATCAGCCACTGAGAGGTACAAATAGGACAACTGTTTTAACATCAGAGGGCTGTCTATGGCTTTGAAGATGCCTTAAATCTATTGTGAATGATAGCGTGGACTGAGGGATACGACCGCTGATAGACTGATTACCAGTTGATTCACTCCTGAGCAGCCCAATTGGCACTTGATCTCCACGGAACGGGACTGAGAGACGTCAGAATTGTCGAATAAGTGAGGAGGTACATTCAATAGACTTGTAAAAAATTTAGCAGAACCATGATATTGGTATTAAGACATAAGGATACCATAAGAAACCTAGGAGCGCTGCAAATACTCTTTCTTCCTTGTCTTCCAACAAATCGTTTGGTAAGCACTCTGCTGTGTTTTCAGTGCCGTCTGACGCAGTGGAAAAGCAGCAACGATTGTGGGCTTGCTCCTGTTGGTCTCCATACCGTGGGCTACGGTATGGTTTCTGGATGGTACTTATGAAACCAATATTCGTCATCACTAACGACTTTACTTAAGCCGACATACTGACCATTGTCGAATTTGTTTAGGAAAAATTGAGCAAAATGCACTCGAGCCTCTTTTTGGGCCTCATTAAAAATTCGTGGTATCCATCAAGCAGATTTCTTCGTGCATCCCAACTGATTACATGATATTCGCGTCTATAAAGACGGTGCAAACGTTCCATGTGCAATTTGGCATACACTGAATATTTGCATGGGCTGTAAATAACGCCACAACCCGATGGGAATTTTGATGTGGAATTTCGGTTTGCGTTGGTGGGGGAATTTCGTCGGACCTATCCGCCGCCATCTTACGCTTCTTCATCTCCATTTTAGCCGATCGTTCTGAAATCTGAAGCGAAGCCTAATAAAGTAATTACAAAAGATTTGGTATTTTTAAATTTAACAAAAACAAATTCAAAGTCACCAACTAACCGAACTTCAGTTAATCCTCTTGTAGACCAAATGAAAGTCATAAGTCCAATACCTGGCTTTGAGCTGCATTCTTTGTATTTGTTTTGTCCTATCCGGTATCTACTCAGTCTCTGCTACAAATAAATATTTATCCAATGTGTATGCTGTAAATTTGAAATGTCCTGTCATTATCCTTTTCGCAAACTACTTCACCGCAAGTACTATTTTTTTCGTTAAGGAACACACATATATGCAATTGAAGGTTGACAGACATACACAAGCATATGTGTCTGCAAGCAGAGTATGCGTTGGCCATTAATTCATAGTAAATTTTGGATTATTGCGGCTCTCTTTGACTGTGAATGTGTGTGTTGGCTGTAAGAAGTATTTGTGCAACATCCGGCTGTGTCTCATGTCGTTGAAGCCAGTGCTGTTACTGCGGGCTCACCTCTAACAGAGCTACCACCTGCACCTAACCATTGACTTTCTTTTTCTCCTACTTCTTCGTTACTCTTTTCGCGTGCTGCTGCCTTCGACGACTTCACCCCTAACTCCCTTTTCAAACTCGTCTAAGAACCAGCACAGCAGCTAGTGTAAACTTAAAATAAGCACCTCATTAAAGTGAAAAAGTGCTCCATAACACGATTACTAGAAAGCTTGCAATGGTCCTCACCTCGCCTCGACTAACTGAGTGACCGACTTCAGAGCCACCACTTTGCATTTCCTGCCGCAGATGTTTCCTTTTCCTCTCTACCAACCAACACACTGTTGCAACTGCCACCTGGCGCTAGCCTGGACTAAAGTATTGTTGAGTGTGGCACGTGACGCAGATACTTCGTTGACACGCAGCCAACCGTAGGGCTGTAAATTGTACTCCAATTAAAGCAAGTATGGGAAATGTGCGGCTGATCGGTTGTAAAAGAGGAAGTAATAAGGATTGTGTGCTCGCTGGGTGAATTGATTTGTTGCAACTTAAATAAATTTTATTAAAATTTAGCGCAATGCTATTGACCAAGAGGTGAGCCGTTGGTGCGGGTGGGAGCCAGAGCATGACTAGTTGCGGCCGTGAATTACTAAGATTTGCCAGTGGATCAGTCTCAGTAACCACTACGTGCCTGGACTAACCACTGGATGAGTGGTGAAAACTGCTGGGTGACTGTTGATAGTCGGTTTGGAGCATTGCGGTATTGAGGCATTGCTATGAGGATCAGGTTCGATGAGTGATTGGCTCGAGATACTTGATGACTTGAAAACTGTGCGTTAGTCTTCACGACTGGTCGTGGACATAAATATTCGGTGGTCTTTACAATAAACTTCACAATGACCTCCTTTGGATCTGCTACAAAAACGGGCGAGTGCAGCATATTTTAAGACAAAACTAGAAATAAAGAGTTAACCTTTTATTGGAAAAAGTAATAATAAATAATATTAATAAAAAATAATAATTGTTTGTTTTAATATTTATTCAAAATCGGCTTAGGCAATATTCTGAGCTCAGTGCTGAAAGCAAGCAGTGAGTAATAAATAGTATTGTCTGCATGTGACTTACTACAATAACAAAATCAAATATTCTCTTATTCTATTTTTTTTTAATTATTTTTTTAAATTTAATTTGAAACTATGGTAAATAGCAAAAAATTCAATACATGAAAAATCATTCAGCACTCTCAATACGCTCCATTGAGTTGGACATGGCGGATGAGTGATATAAAAGTACATTTTCAAGTAAAAACCACAATTGTGGCGACATTACTTTTGCTGTGCTTCAATTTGTTTTTTTTTTGTATTAATTAGTCAACATTGGTAACGAAAAAATATTCATTTTTTTAGCCGAAAGCAATACCTAATTTCTTCCTCATAAGATTTTTTGCATACCAAAAAATTTATGATTGAACGGAGGGATTTCTGTTCGTATTTCTTCTATGAAAATGTGAGTTAATTGAATGAAAATAAAAGAAATTAATGTAAACACATACGCATGTCAAGCATGAGTTGTTATTTGAATCTCAAATTCAAAGAGATTGGCATGAAAGAGAAGAGTTTAAAAAACAATAATATAGTATAAAACAAAATAAAATAAAATAAAATAAAATAAAATAAAATAAAATAAAATAAAATAAAATAAAATAAAATAAAATAAAATAAAATAAAATAAAATAAAATATGAAACAAAATAAAATAATATAACATAAAAAATAAATAAAAGAAAATAAGGACTAAAAAAATAAAATTTGGTCAAATAAAATAGAAAATAAATTAGGCAAAATAAAGGAAAATAAAAAGAGGAAAATGAAAAAAAATATATAAGCAAAATATAAAAGCTAAAAAAAAAAATAAGTTGAAAAAATAAAATTAAATTAAATTATATAATATAAAGAAATAAAATGAATTAACATAAAAAAACAGGTAGTGAGAGAGGAAGCAACAGTAGAGCCACTCCGACTTATTCAGTTTAAGGATCCGTTGAAATCATTGCAGCATCTGATCACGAGAGATGCGGCTGTGAGTGGGCGTCGATCTTGAAGCAAACGCCTCGCTATATAAATGCGTACAAACTTTAAACTCATTCTCCCAGAAAGGTTGTGCGCTATAAGTGGGACCCGCTACATAGAAACCAGACCCAATGAACAATTTTTGCATGCCTCGGTTCATATAACCCCTTACGAAGACGGCCCCATAAACGTTCAAAGGATCATGATTTGTCCCGTGAGATCTACTACAGCGCCCATATAAAGGGGCGAAAATTTGTGGTTGCATTTGTGGTGGGAGAGAGACTCCGTCATTGAGTACTGGCATTCACCGCATCCACAATCCGAGCCAAAGCGAAATTTTTCTAAATATGTCTTTGATTTGTGCCCTCGCCCATTGAAAGAAAAGGACGAGTTGCCCAAAGATGCCTTTTATGAGCGCTTAGAGCATACTTACGAGGGCTGCTCCCGAGTCGATGTGAAAATCGTGGTTGGTATCTTTGGTACGACTGTTGGACAATTTAGCCTTTAGGGTTGAGGCTAATCGACATCGCCGGGGCCCGAAATATTGCTGTCTGTTCAACTAGATTCCAGCACAAAAGAATATGACAAGCTCCGACGACTCACCCTAGACTCGGACCACTACTTTATTGCAGCGAAGATATGCACCCGCCTTTACGTACCTGGTAGTGAACGAAGGCAACACGAAATATCTCCTGTCATCACACAAACAGTCATCGCATTCGCGACTCGGCAACCATGCTACTGTTGGCAGTCATAACTTCTTTTCTATAGGAACCAGTGCTAATACTAGACCTTAATTGGAATTTCCATTTGACGCCAAGCTAAAATTTGCGTAAGCGATGACTACGCCAGTAAATAAGAAGAAGAAAATAAAATATTAACAAGAAATAAAATACCAAGCAAATTTATCTATGGAGATCACCCCAACCTACTTGAAGACCCAAACGGCTCAAGGAGTAAATATAAGGGTATTACTCGACATGCTCTCCATTCCAACCCCCTAGCTTAGACACGTCAGGAAAAATATATATATAATGCAAAAATACAGCAACAACTCAAGTGGCAGAATTTAGATTTGAAGAGCCAAAATCAACAACAAACAGAACTTCCTTTAAAAGCTTTTATTTACTATATAATAAAAATAATAGATAAATGAAATATAAATCTTAATATATAATATAAAATATATAGTAAAATAGACATAAACAAAAACAAAAACACATATTTTTTAAACATGTACAATACAAATCTATATGAATTTACTAAAAATAGAAAATCGTAAGTACTTATAAGAAATTCATCTGCTCTGGGATTTGAGCTTTGAGGCCATAACCCAAGCATCGTCAGATAGAACCATGGTCAATGCGAACTGAGGTCCTGGAGCCGTTTGAAGATATTCCCAGTCTTTCGATTAGTAGCTGTTTTAATCGTCGAAATCACTATCCACCACTATCCACGAACCGTCCAGATCGGTGTCGGTGAATGACACTCTGCAATTGTGTTTACTTTTTGGATGTCGCTCCACGTTCCACCGTTACTCTATCAGTGGCCAAGTAAGAAAATTGATGTTCACGACGTTGGTGCTCCTTATACAATTTCTCACTTTTTCCTTTGCAGCCAGCAACTGCTCTTTTACCTCAACCCCCAACACGGGGTCTTCAAAATCTACGATAAGTAGAGACAGGTGCTCCCGCATATCTTGATAATAATCCAATCTCGCTCTACGTTTTAGTCCTTCCTCTTCGATTATTTTAATACAGCATTCAAGGAATCGCTCTTTAACATCATCGAACTCCCTATCGTGCTCCTCAGTAGCCAAGAATTCAGCACGTAGACACCAAAACTTCGACGTTAAGTCTGTAATATCGGCATGTAAATTCATATATTCCTCCTCAATACTTTGGAATTCCGAGCGGTATATACATAGCTGCCATTCATCGGTTATTGGTGGGTAATCGCCGGCATTAAATACTGGCAGCTCATCGGTAAGCTTCGGGTTCCTTTTCTCTAGCATTTGGTAGGCAGTTAGGTCTCCATATTTCTCGAATTCCGTGTTGCATGACAAGAATCGTAAAAACTCAATTGTCCCAACGTCTTTGAGAGACCGATGAAGTTCTGGTTGTTCTCGCTGTTGCTGTTGCTGTTTACTGTGGTACATCGAGGGCGGAGCAGCATCAGTCATCATACTGCTTACGCTTGCTTTTGGTGCATGAATTCTTGCTACTGTTCTAGGTGCTTTGACTGGAAGGTCTACCGAATATTTCGTCGACTCTGCGGGTTCATCGATGCGGGGTAAAAGCGGGTCTTCCGAAAGTCGTCCGTTGATATTGGCTTGGCTCGTTTGCTTTATCGGCTCTTGTATTAGACGTGTATCTGATGCCTGAGCATTTGTTGAGACCTTATCATTTGGAAATAGGAATCTGACATTACTGTCGGAGTGACCACCTTCGGTTACGTGATTTATCTTGCGATGTATGCTCGAGTGCCTTCCAGGATTGGTGCGTTTTCTGATGAAGCAACTTTCGTCAAATTTTGTTCTGGCTGCCACCGGATTGGGTAATGGTTGTTTGTTCGAAGACTTTAAGACATTGTTGCTGCCACGGATAAGTTTCTGGTTTTGGTTTTTCTGCTCTTGATCATCAAAATCCGTAATGATCGGTAGGTTCGGTAGGTCGCCAGAAATTATGCTGGGCACGCTTGCTTCAGGTGCCGACTTCACCGAGTCCACTAGAAGGCTTGAGTGCCTTCCATGGTCGGTAGGCCTTCTAGCATTGGACTCAACCTGAGGCCTGGCTGAAGACTGAGGTAATCGCTGTTCACCACTCAGTCTCGGTTTCTTTGAATTTATAGTTGGAAGGTCGCCCCGAAGTCGTTTTAAACCGTTACTAGATGCATTCGCTTTACTGCGGCTTACTGATGCCGTCCCACAGGATGGTGTTTGGTTGAGTTTAACATCCGCATTTGACCCAGTAACTCTGGTGGTGGTCGCATTAGGTCCAGTCACTGGTGAAGCCGCACTAAAACGCTTACTCAACGTCACTTTCTTCCGCTCCTCCTCGGTGTAGTATGGCCAATTTTCGTTCACATCATCCCATACATGGCATTTGAGGTAGTACAGATTATCTTCGGTTCTCGCAATCAACGGGAGGAAGGAAGTAAGCACTGTCTGGTCGCCGCGTGCTATGCCCTCCTTCATTAATCGTGATTTCAGATCCGACTTTGATAATGGTTTTACAGCCAATATATGGATGATCCGCTCACGGATTCCTGGCTGTTTTACAGCGGTGAAAGTACGAGACTTATCGGATTTCTTGGCGGCAGGGTCAATCTTTGCATTCTTGCTACTAGCCAACGTGGTAGATGAAGACGGTCTTTCAGATGAAACCGGAAGATTTTGGTTGGCTCGCTTTTCGATTGTCCTCTTACCACCATTATCAGCAGCGGCCTTTTCACGTCGGTTGTTCTGGACTTTAGATCCTTCCATTTTTTTAATTTCTTCTGCTGTTGTTATTTTCCTCAAAATCTATGTATGTGAATATCTGTGTGCCTCTTTATGAAGATCGCTTTCTTAAACAGTTCAAACTTCAAGTTTCGCTATGAATTTCTACTGGTTCTGATTTAATGCTATTTTTTTTGGTTTGCTTTATTATTCGCTAGCTTAACGCTTGTTGTGCTGTGTTGTCAAAGACTGGCATTAGGGCGGCCGCTTACCCATTTTTATATCCTTGTGCGCAGGCGGCCATCTTGCATAACCGAAATTGCGCGGGCCGCACTTGCGCTTACCTGACATTAGAGGATTCCAACCGGCAGGCAATTCAGACGTTTTTAGAAGACAAAGGAAAGGGCCAAAGATTTAATGAATAATTTTACAAAGAATAAATAAAATAAAAAAATAAACAATATAAAAAATAAATAAATAAAAATAAAATAAATTGAAATCATATAACAAAAAACTAAATAAAATATAAACAAAAAAAAAAAGTAAATTAAAAAAAATAAAATTTAATTTTTTAAATAAAATGTAATGCAACAAAATAAAATAAATAAGATTAAATAAAAAAGAACTTAAATAAAATAAAAAAATATAAAATGAAATAAATTAAAATAAAATAAAATTAATTTAAACAAAAAAAATTGAATTTAATGTGTTAATCAAAGTAAAATAAAAGGAGAGGAAAAAAATTTAATACTATTTAAGACCGAAAATTAAAATAAAATGAAATTAAATTATATATTAAAAAGCCAAAATAAATTAAAAAAAAATAAAATTAAAACAAATAAATAATTTAAAATAAATAAAATGAATTAAAGAACAAAAATAAAATAATATAAAATTACGAAAGACGTTCTTAGAAGACAAAGGAAAGGGCTAAACATTTAATGGAGACTTTTACAAAGAATAAGTAAAATGAAATAAAATAAAACAATATAAAAAAAATGAAGGAAAATTAATAAATTAAATTAAAAATAAATTAAATTAAATAAAAAAATAAAATTAAATAACGTAAAATTAAGTGAAATAAAATAATATAAAAAAGAAATAAATCGTACAAAAGAAAATAGAAGGAAAGAAAAAAATTAAAGTAATCTACAATAAATGATATATAATTATATTTAAAATAACTGATATATAAAAAACAAAAACAAATAACAATAGATCAATAAAAACCTCAACGATATCCTCACTTGCGTTTGCCTGATATTAATTCAGGAAATTATCAAGGACAACCAATTGAAACGTCTTAAGAAAAAATATAGAGAAATAAAACAAAATAAAAAATTAGAAAGAATTAATTATAAATTAAAAAAAAACGAATTAAAATAGAATTAAATAAATTAAAATGAAGTAAAAGAAAATAAAATAAAATAATTAAAACAAACTAAAATAAAATAATATAAAATGAAATGAAAAAATATAAAATAAAAAAATAAAAATAAATTATCTAAAATAAAATAATATTAATTAGAATTAAATATAATAAACTGAAATAAAATAAAATAAAGCGAAAGAGATTTAAGAAGTTTAAATAATTTTTATAAAATGAAAATAAATTTAAAATAAATATGATATAACATAAAAAAATTAAACAAAATCAAATCAAATAAATTAAATTAAAAAACGTCTACAATAGAACAATAAAAACTTCACTTGCCTGGTATTATGAAAGAAACATTAGAAAAAGGATCAAGTAGAGCAATAAAACCGCAATAAAGCCTAACTTGCGCTTGCCTGATCTTATTCCAGGAAATTCTCAAGGACAGCCAACGTTTTGCGAAAAGCAAGTAATTGAAAAAAAAATAGAAAGAATTAAATATAATTTAAATAAAACAAAATAAAATAGAATTAAAAAAAATAAAATGAAGTAAAATAAAGTAAAATAAAAAATAAAATAAAATAAAATAAAATAAATTAAAACAAAATAAAATGAAGTAAAATAAAATAAAGTAATTAAAATAAAATAAAATAAAAAAAATAAAATAAAACAAAATTAAAGTAAGTAAAGAAAATAAATTGAAACAAAATAAAATTGAATTGAAAAAAGCTAAATTGATGAGGTCGAATCATTTTGCTTACGGTGGGTTTAATTTTTCACACAATACGCTTGATCGGATCTTATATGCGATGTTAAGAAGGCTTAATCCACGGTATTTGGCACTGAATGTGGGATCGCCTTTTTTTGTGGATTGGGCAGAGCTCACTTTCACTCAGTTCTTCTACGCCGTATTTGAATAGCTTGGCCGGTAATCCATCGGTCGCCGTCGCTTTGTTGTTCTTTAGGCGGGCGATTGCTACTCGAACTTCTTCATAGTCGAGTAATGAAACATAATTTCCATCGTCATCGATTGACGTTTCCGGCTTACAAAATCCGAGTCTTTCATTTTCACTGCCACTCAGAAGACCGGAGAAGTGTTCCCTCCATAAATTCACTATACTCTGAGTAACAGTCTGCTCTGGTTTTGAAACTTTCTGTAAGCTGCCGTATATTTTCGTAGATTTTTCGAGTATTACCCCTGTCGGCTAGCCTCTCTAGATCATTATACTCACGCATATCGGCCTCTTCAGCTTGCGGTATATATCCCAGCACCGCACGCATTGTGGTAGATGAGAAGGTTGTGTGGTAGGCAACGAGAATTTTTTTGAAAAGTAAGTATGTAATCGTGATCATGTGTATTGACATATAGCAAAAGACTAAACAATTGATTGTTGACTACCTGTCAATACAATAAATATTCAATATAATTAAATTCAATTATTACACAATAAAGCCAGAGCACTGTGTGCAAGCAAAAAAAAAAAAAATAAACAGTTTAATCGAATTTAAATAATTATTGTTAACATTTTTCACAACTTTTCATGGGAAGTTTTTATTTTTATTTTCAATTTTTTTTTTAATTTCTATTTTTTTTACAATATATATATCTTTTTATTTGACTTTAGTGTATAAATTTTTTTTGTTATTTGTTTTTGCAAACAACTGTTATTAATTTTTGATTGTTTTACATTTAATTTTCATTATCAGCGAATACAAATGCGGCAACGTTTTTATGCAATGGATTTAGTATTTGTTTCCAAGTGAGCGCTAAATAAATGTAAATATACATACATATATGTCTGTATGTATGTATTCTTGTGTTTAAATATATTGGTTCCGGTTGATTATATGCTTTGTCGTTGATTAAATGTGATTTTGTATGGTCTTTGTATTTGTTGCATGCCACATATTTTTATGCCGCACTGATATTGTGTGTGTTGTGGTAACATGATTTGTTACGGTTTAATTGCTTGTTTCTATACAAGTCTTTGCGTACTTTGTATATATGTTTGTATGTATGTAAGTATGAATGCATGTATGTATGTAAGTATGTTTGCATGTATGTATGCATGTATGTATGTATATATGTATGCATGCATATATGTATATATGTTTATATTTCTGTGCATTTCACACAATAACAAATTTTGGGTTTTACATTTGTATTGTAAAATTGCTGAAAGTTGTATTAGTCAATTATAATGTAATTAATGCTTATGCATTACAACAACAATTGTGTTTGCGTTAAACCATCATGCATAACAAAAATGATAATAAATAAATAAAAAATAAAAAATAAAAATTCGACATCAATCACATTTATTAGATGTAAATAAAGCGGCCGCGGTAGCCGGGTGGTTAGCATTGGGTACAGCCATTCGGAAGGCTCGGGTTCAAATCCCCGTGCGACCAACACCCAAAAGTATATTTATGACATGTAAAAAAGTTCCTCATAAAAAATCCATCAGCCGTTCGGAGGCCGCTTAGTATAAATTGTGGGTCCCTCGATTTGTTGGAACAACAACAAGACGCAAAACCACAAATTGGAGGAGCAGCTCGGTCGAAAATCACTTCAGCGATTACAAGGCGCAAAATATATATATATATATATATATATATATATATATATACAATATATATATATATATATATATAAGAGGAAAGGTCAAGTTAGGCTTTATTGCGGTTTTATTGTTTTACTTGATCCTTTTGCTAATGTTTCTTTCATAATACCAGGCAAGTGAAGTTTTTTCTGTTCTATTGTAGACGTTTTTTATTTAATTTATTAGATTTGATTTTGTTTTATTTTTTTTTGTGTTATATAATATTTATTTTAAATTTATTTTCATTTTATATAAATTAGTTAAACTTCTTAAATCTCTTTCGCTTTATTTTAATTTATTTCAATTTATTATATTTAATTCTAATTAATATTATTTTATTTTAGAAATTTTATTTTATTTTATTTTATTTTATTTTATTTTATTTTATTTTATTTTATTTTATTTTATTTTATTTTATTTTATTT